TATATCCCTTATACAGTATTCCTCGGTGGTCTACCCCAAAAAAATTTACCATTGCAGCTTCCGAGCGTGCCATCACTAACAGCGCCGGGCGGCCACACAGTTACTGAGCACTATGTGCCAGCACTCCTCCCCCTCCTATCTGTGACAGCTCTATTGACTGATAAGTGAGCCGTCCAATGGGATGCCTTGCAACACAGAGCTGCCTGGGCCCGCCTCCATCTGCCAGCCTCCGATTGGGCGCTGGCCAGGGGCTGCAAGACAGAATGACATAAGGCAGCTGATGCATGGTGTCACTCTCTGTTTTAGGGACGGGCCCCCGCATGACAGCAGGAGGGCCCTGTACAGGAGTACTGCCTGTACGATCCCCCCATTCCCCAATCGGTGGCCCCGACTGCAACCACGGCTTCAGATTGTGACTCCATCTGCCCGAGCAAAGCAAATCCACAAAAACGCAGCCGACGTTACGAGCGCAGAGACCGATCCTCATACACGAGTCATGTGACAGGTCCAGGCAGACACTGAGGGGAATTCATCAAAATCTGGAGCAGCCAATCAGCTTCTCTCTTCAGTTTGTTCAGTTAAGATTTGAAAATGAAAGAGAGAAGCCGATTGGTTGCCAGGCACAGCTGCTCCAGTATTGATCAATTCCCCTCTTTGTGAATGTCGCTGCCAGGGTGCAGAATATCGGCCCCCGTCTATAGGGAGCGGCTCCCGTCACCTGTTCTCCAGGCCGCCCCGGCAGGCGTACTCCCACTCGGCCTCGGTCGGAAGGCGCTTCCCAGCCCAGGCGCAGAAAGCGACGGCGTCGTTCCAGGACACCTGAAGGACCGGGTGATCCATCCTGTGATTGACAGAAGGGGAGACGATTAATCCAGATAACGGCACGCGCGCCTGTAAACCCCCATCACAGCTCCTGCAGACGATACGGCATGTCCGCGCTTTTCCTGCATAAGCAGCACATGTGAAGAAGCGGGAGAGACAATAATGACGTTCCTGTTAAATACCCAGAAGGAGAATCAGAGTGCCAAATGTAGAAAGCTTTGTGTAACAAGTATATTTTTATAGTTGAAATAGATAGGCTGCATGGGCCATGTTTACAAATGTCTGACACAGGTCAGCCCCCTGCTGCAGACTCTCACCTTCTGACTTGCTACAAAGTTACAATCTGGTCACTGGGGGGGGGAGACTGAAGAAATGCTTCCTCCTGCCTGCAGCAGACTGGTCACTGGGTATGACTGGGGAAATGCTTCCTCCTGCCTGCAGCAGTCTGAGCACTGGGGGAGGGGAGACTGAGGAAATGCTTCCTCCTGCCTGCAGCAGACTGATGACTGGGGGAGGGGAGACTGAAGAAATGCTTCCTCCTGCCTGCAGCAGACTGATGACTGGGGGAGGGGAGACTGAAGAAATGCTTCCTCCTGCCTGCAGCAGACTGATGACTGGGGGAGGGGAGACTGAAGAAATGCTTCCTCCTGCCTGCAGCAGACTGATGACTGGGGGAGGGGAGACTGAAGAAATGCTTCCTCCTGCCTGCAGCAGACTTATCACTGGGGGAGGGGAGACTGAGGAAATGCTAAGCTCAAGGACGGCTTGTTAAACACTGGAGCTTTCCTGTTGCAGTATATTGTGTCATGAAGAATGTGTTCTGACATGTACAGTGATTGGCGGCTGCACTGTAGTAGCCGATTGTCTGGAATATCATTGTTATGCTAATGCGGCGATCCTCATTTTCTGCATCTTCATCATTTGCGGCGTCTCAGCCAGAAAACCCCGCTGACAGAGAGATCGGCTTCCTGTCACCGATCTGATGACGTTTGCTGAAATCACAGTAATCTTTCCCTAAATTTAGCCGCGGCCTGTCGCTCTGCGTTAGTCACCGCGCCGGGACAGACCGGGATCGGAGCTCAGTGAAGGTTTTCCTTCTGAGGGGGAAATAACAACGTTCTATGAATACAAAATATCTTTATATAAAGAAGTAAAATTCCCCATGTATGTAAAAATCAACAACTCCCCAAATCTGTCTCCATTACACCCGCCCTCTGCCCAAATCAACATTCCCAACCAGTGGAGGGATTGGCACAGAGGGGCAGGGAATGGGAGCCAGTGGAGGGATTGGCAGAGATGAGTGAGTGATGGAAGCCAGTGGAGGGATTGGCACAGAGGGGCAGGGAATGGAAGCCAGTGGAGGGATTGGCAGAGATGAG